TCTTTAATAGGGTTGCTGGCCATATTTTTCATTTCTCGGGATATTCACACCTCACATGCCTGTAAGGTTGAACTTGGCCTTTTGTGCGACTGCCGGGGGTGGGAGGAGGAGGACGAGAAGGAGGAGGAGGAGGAGAGGAGAGAGAGAATTGAACCATAAGTGATATCTGGCCAAACTATACATTACTCAATGAAACAAACTGGGATGATTTTGAATTTTCGAATGTACTAGAAAATTGATTAATATATTAAACATATACCACAATATAATTACTTAAATATTAATTTTTTTAAAATTTTAATTCTTGCTACAAACAATTGTTAATTGAAGATGTATTTCCAATTTGGCAACAACGGAATCACAAAATATTTTAAAGTGAATGCTGTTGAGATTGGTATTATTACAGTGACAGACTACTGTCAGAATGGTAAGTAAATCTTACAAGTTTATCTGAATTTGATCTGATCGTTTCCTTGTGTGTATGATTCTCTTGCCAGATATATTATCTTAAATACAGATCAAGGTTTACATAATTGTTTGATTTATTTGAATTGGAGAGTTGTGTAAAAGTAGATATATCAAATGTTGAGCACTAATATTAATTTCAGCCAATATTGCAGGAAAGATACACAACAACTTCTCTAATGGATAAATGAAGTATTACAGGATGGTGATCATGATGATGAACCAGAATTGTGTTCAAAAGAAGAGGCTGCCAATGAAATTGAGGTTGTTTTGAAGCAGCCTATTGGCAGCGCCAATAGTGACCGTGATGATGGCGACAGCAACGATGATGAAACAACTACACTCATGGACCTGGGTCGTGGGAGTTTAGGTCCAGAAAGAAGATTAAATTAGAGAAACAAAGGGACAAACCGATTCTGAAAGAGTAAAAAGACATTCAATATGTTCCTAATTTGAGAGAATTAATGGTTCAGAATAAATCACCTGAATCCAAAACATGGTTTCCACAAAAAGGAGTTCAGTCATTGTAAATAACTCTTCTGCCAACTCAATTGTTAAAAGTATGGGAAAATCTAGATCAAGAAAAAAAAAAAAACACCTAAAACTGAATGGGTGGAAAAAAACTCTTCATAAATGCAATTCAATATCTTCATTGCGTTCCAAGAATCTCAATTTCTTTGATTCAGATGTATCACCCGCGGAGCATTTAAAATTTACTATTGATAAAGAAATTATTGAACTCATATGTCGACAAACAGTGCTTTATGTTGCACAGAAATAATTTATTAAACAATTGTCAGTAGAAGAATTATATACCTATTTTGCAATTCTTTTAGTTTTGACTCTGTAAAACTATCATATCAATGCCTAATTTGGGTATCAAAACAAGGTATGCAAAACTTACTTATCTAAAACGGAATATCTACGAACAAATTTGGCACTATTCATTGATTCCTTCACATCAATGACCTCTCTGAAATAAAGCAAATGGTGGGTACAAGGTACAACTACTTATAGATCATCTCAACACAAAGTTCCCACAATTTGCCCAACCACTTACACCACTCTATTCATTGGACAAAGCCATGGAACCACATTACTGTTGTCACACAATGAAGCAATTCATTCGTAGAAAGCCTGTAAATTTCTATTTAAATTTTGGTGTGTTGCTACTCCTGACAGGAATTTTCTGAAGTTTAATCCTTCAGGGAGAATCATTGGGATCCTTCCTTGCTGTGTTTTTATTGAAAAATGTTTCACCTCTTTGCTGCTTCTCAATACAATGTTTGACCTCAATATTTATGTATTAGGATTCGAATAGATAGAACTGGACCTGAAACACTCAAAGACTTAGGCAAACAGAAAGGCTCTTGTCATGTTTTTAAGCAAAAGACAAGAAGGCAACAATCATCTAGTGGCAAGATTATAAATAATAATAATTGGCACCTATGTGCAAGATGAAAATCTTTTCAGTTTCGGGTCATGCCAGCAATGGAGTGTGGCAGAAAAGAAGCAGGTTGCAATTACATAACCAACAGTAATTAAAAATAACAATAAGTGTATAGGCAGTGTTGATCTATTTGATCAAAATCAAGGATTGTACAGAATACGAATCAGATCAAAAAATTAGTGGCCATTTTTCCACACTTGTTTAAACTAATCAATAGCAAATATGAGGCCTCTATGCAAGAAAATGCTCCAGGATATCTCCTATTGGAATTCATACGGAAAATAACATTGGTAACCTTGTCAGCTCAGTTCTCCAACATCAATATTTCCTAAGAAAATATCACTAATATCAACAGCACTGCGATACGCATGCAATGCTTTCAAGACAACCAAAGTTGCTGTGATTTGTGAAAGATGAATGCAAAATATCATTATTTTAAATGTAATGCTTGTTTTACATTTAAGACTTTTCACCCCAAGCACTGCTTCCTAAAATTCTAACATTAAACATTCTAATCTTGAACCAATATCAACCATTCAATCACTATGATTCTTGATTATCAGTCTGGTTTTATACTACTTCTGTGCTTTGCATTATTGCTTCTTACATTATTTTCAACAGACTCAATACTTGTTATATCATGCCATGTCACTTTTTGAACTTTTCAATCTTGGATTGTCTGGGAATATGTACAGTATTTTTTGGTTACACTAAAATTGACACATCTTACGAATACAGGATTTCCTCAGCCAACACAATACTACAGCTGAAGTATAAGAATTATTTACAAAGATGTATAGGGTGGCCATTGATTTCCTGGAACAAATTCCTCTCTTTTCCCAGTTTAACAGTGCATTTTTTCCCTATTAATATTTGTAACTTATGGAAAATATTAAAGCCCTGATACTAATTGGTGAGCTCTCTGATATCACCATGACAAAGTACAAATTAACAATATTTTCTCACCAAATAAACACTGAGCAAGAAATATTGTTTGTAATTGTAATACTGCACTCATTTTTTACAGAATAATATTTAGTTATATAACTCTCAAAATGTTCGTTGATTTTTTTTAGGCAACGGAATTTCCTTCTTTTCCCCCCCATGTTTTTCAGAAAGTAGCCACCTGTTATATAATCTAACTTTTCTTTTACGTGACTACACTGGGATACAAATTAGAAATGCATTCATTATATGAATTGCGAAGTAATAGTTTACATTTTAAGAAAAGTGTGCAATAATTTTTTTAAAACAAAAACAGTTTGCTTTTTTTTATTAATTACATATTACTTGAAAGAATTTATGTACGGCCATTTCGTTTGAGAAGACTGCACACCCAAAGGTTTCTTTGAGAAAACTGAGCTATTATCTTTATGGCTCTAACACTTCTTTGATATTCTAACACAGAAATTGATAAATGACTTTTCATGCAACCTATCCAAATTAATTTTATGCGTATTTATTAATGCGTAACTCAACCTTAACACAAAAGACATCTTCAAAACCAAAAATTACTATGACAAAATATTTTTCTTGCAATTTCATAACTAAAGATAATTTCTTGCTTTCAGAATGTATTGCTTCTTCCTAATAACTCAATATATATCATTTCATATTCAATATTTTTTTGAGGAACTTTGAATTCTCCTTTCATGTCTTCACTTACTATTCCTAAGATCTCAAGTTTTTAAGATAACGATGACAATTTAATACTTTTTTATCACTGTATTTCCCAACTGAAAATGTGCAAAATTTCAAAAACTTTTAGAACCTCTCACATAATTTATTATCTACGGTACACAGTCTCACATTCAACAAAAACTGTTAGAAACACAAATCACGCAAATGTTATGAACTTACTAATTTTTCTTAATTAGCTTTAAACTTTCACGAATTTTGATGTAGTTATAGCTATAGCAAGACAAAACTCATAAATGGATACAAAAATAATCTTAGAAACTCTATCCTGACAACCTGTTTTTAAAGAGATTTCCTCCAACACTTACAAGGCCTTCACCTCAATCATAATTTTAAAAAATTTAATGTTTAAATCATGAAAGTAAGGATTCCCAATACTAAAACAAGAAGTACAAAAGTCCTCAAGGACTTCTACAGCTCACCAGTTTTTAATACATATTGTGCCAGCTTCGAATGTTATTAGAGAGGGCTTTTAAGAGGCATTGTGGATCAAATTTGACACTGGCATTGCACTTCTATTTAATGAGAAATTGGTCATGGCCCATTGGTCAAGTCAAAAGAAGCCCATGATACTTATGTACTATCTCCAATGTATTTTCCTCTATTGTCACTCCATAAAAGCCAACATGGTTTCAACAGTGAATTTTAAACTCAACTTTTCCATGAAATCCATTATGAAATGTTGCTAAGCAAATATCACTCTTCTTACTTCTAATCATAATACTTATATATAGTTAATACTAATGCACCTTGTTTCAAGGAACTAAGACAATTTTGAAAGTCATATGCCATGAGAACAATGAACAACTGAAACTTTCCTCTCAATTGTACACTTTAACACAACATAAGTAACAGATTAAGATTTACAACACCTAATTTAATTCTTAGAAATTCAAAACTACAACAAGGTTCTACATGTGACACCACTTAATGTCTTATTGCAAAAATATAATTATTAAAATTATTCAAAGATCAATTTGCAAGTAATTTGATTCAAAATTTGCACGTGACAGAAATGACCATATGAGCTTTGACATTATTATTATAATTTTACACTATCCTTTTGTTTGTTTTAATATAATTCCACAGAACATAAGCTGTTCAAAATTTTCATCACTGATTAACACATAGGCCTAAGAACCTTGAGAGTCAAAGCAATACTTGTGTATTTTCTGAAATAATAGTGTAATTAAAGGGCTTATATATTCTTATAAAAGACAGAAAATTTATGTTTTGATCTTATTGTTATTTTTAATTTAATAAAAGCATACACAAAAGAGTATTGATAACAATAGTGATTTCATCAATACAAATTCAATCAATAACATCTGGCAAGATTAGGATCATTATGAAATGTAATGAATCAAATATTTATGAAGACATTTATTGATAAGGTCTTTTACATTTACAACACAATACATCCCTGACCAATAAAAAACGTACATGAAAACACTCGATTTCATACAATTTCAAATAGTATACACAAGTAATTATAAAAACTTATGAAATCTCTAAGTAATTATCAACCATTATACATGAATGTAACCTACACAAACAAGAAATTCCAAGACCAAAAACAAGATATACAAATAATAAATTAAATTTGGATTTGGCCAATGGAAATATCAAGTCATAAAATCATCAAATATTACAGATCAAAGATAAAACCTAAAATTTGTATCATTGATTATCATGGTAACACCAAATATTCTTAGCTTCTGACATTTTCAGTCCCATTACATATCTATCTGAAACCTTGTTGGGACATGTTAAGTGTTTAATCATCGATTAGTCTTTACACTACACAAGCAACTGCCCAAAGTGTTTCTGAGCTGTGCTTAGATGGATAGCTGTTTCTTCCTTTTATTAATCAAAATACACTTTTATATCGCAAGAGATTTAACTCTTAAAATTAAAGTGACACAATATATATTTCTTTAAAATAATTTTCATGACTAAATACTGAGTATAAGATAAGGTTATCTTTCCTTTTGTAAGTTAAACAAAAAATCTTTGCAACTGAAAGAATTGGGCATATTGCCGAATAATTTTCTGAACCTATTGAGAATTTAACAACTAAGAAAACATCTAAAAATGAGATTCAGAAAAATTCCTGAAGAGATTTTGCTTCAACTTTCACACTTCCATCGAAAGGCACAAGATCTTTTCAAGGGTTTTTCATTGCAAAATATATCAAAACTAAGTCTCATATCATGCATTGCTTGAAAAAATCTTGCTCAGTGATGACAAATCTATTAACTTCTACTTGTAGAAAGTATCAAAATATGAAATGGACAAAAGTTCCTCCTGGAAAATGGACTGGCAATTAACATTTAATGTCATTCACATTTTACTTAAAGATCTTTTCAAGTATATTCCTTACTACTTCTCACAACACAAGTTTTTAATAACTCGTGAACATCATAATAAATGTAACCCCTAACGAAAATTTCTAGATTCACAATTACCATTGAAGCTTTTACATAAGAAAATCAGCATCCAATTATTCCTATTGTTAAGAAAGCAAAATAAAACGTTTATTCATTGAATTCGTCATTCTGAAGAAAAATATAGTTCGAACAAATAATTTGCTTGGCATAATTTGCTTCTAGTGCATAGTTTGAGCAAAAACTGTATATTCATTGTCACATTCACTGGTCACACTCTTTCATAAATTGCAATCAGTGCAAAACTTAGTTGAGGGTATAGTTGCTAATTTCTTAACAGATACACACTGAAATAGATACAATATTTAATTGAGAGACCTCAACAAAGATGTGACAGAATTAAGAATATGCAAAACTGCCTTTAAATAAACTTTTCTAAGAATTCTACAATTTGCAGATTTTATCATACACAAGAGCTTGAGACTACTATCTTCCAGCAGGTTACTAACAATTTATTTCAATTGAAATATAGCAAAGTTAAAGAAATATTAAACTGATGAGCACATGAATAATTTTAATTTCCCCCCTGTTTATATACAAATATTCTAACACAGCAACAGATGGTGTTAATAATTATAAAACATCATCGAGAGATATTAGAAATAATTCTTTAATAATGTATTTAATTATAATTACAGGCAATAGTAACATTACTCATATTTTCTGAGTTATTACATCTATGATAATTGTAAGCACTGCTCCAAAAATTTATTAACAAACTATGTGTGTACATACATGTGAACTTCACACGTTTTTACCCAACATTTATTAGTCAACTCCACACTGTTTAATAATAGTGTTTTATTGATTTATTTATTTAATGTCACAAAACAGTTGAAATTGTGTCAACAATTGAAAGAAAAAATCTTTTGAAAGAACTTTTTTTTTTCTTTTTCTTTTTTTCCCCCATTTAAAAAGAAATTACCAATTCCCCGATTATCTACACTTCCTGCTGACTTTTGTAATTCAAAGGTATGATGTAATCTTGTGTTTCTTTGCAATGTTTAATGTCAACAGTCTTACTTATGTTTCAAAACATATCTGGAGTATTACATTTGAAGTATTACATTATTAATAATTTAGCTCTTTCCTGATTTCCTCCTTGCAATTCAAAAACTATACTGGAGCAATAATTTTATGACCACTACTAAAGCGCATCAATGGGAAACGTGTTCCAAATTAATTAAACCGAGAATTGTAAATACAAAAAAGAAAACTATTTCATCAGATAGGAAAATATTTTCATTCAAAAGAAATTAAAATAATTATATTCACTTCAATAAGAACCCGTAATTATTCAGTGATGTAATATGAATTATTTCACTGGGAGGGTTAAGGTTTAGTGTTCAGTAAACTTGATATTTTGTCATAGAATATGTTTCATATACGCTAAATTTAAAATTAATTTTTAATTATTGATTTATCTTTATTAATAACTAGAGCCCATAAATTTGGCTAAATGCCTTTTTATTGTTCCAATTTTGTGACTTCAACAAAACAAAACCCTTAATTGATCTTCTGGAGTTGTTTTAGTAATTTTCATTTAGACTTTTTTGTTGTTTTTGTTGCATTATGTTTGCCTCTTTCGCCCGACCCCAAACTCAAACAAGCTAAAAAAAAATACCTGCAAGCCTGGACAACATGAAGCCATGATTGTATTTTTGATTATTATGGAAGCAGAAAATGCAGGGCCATGGAGTATTACATATATAAACGAAAAAGGAGGATGATACCACTCAATATATTTGAAATTTTTGCATAAATGCTGACAGACACCGCTGCTCGCTTGCATCACTTCTGAGAAATCCCATCCTACTTTTGAGTAAGGTGTCCAATCCCTTCTGAGGACAGAGCTCTCAGTATATGATACACCATTTTCAGCTGTAGCAATTACATAAGGGCAAAGAGAGAAAAATATAATTCCATTTTCACTGATGCCATTTCAAGATTCAAAACAGTCCACAGTAGCATTTGAAAGAGAACAAGTAAAACAAATTTGTAGTCATCATACTGAGTGGTCACATGAAATCCAAATTACAAGGAATAGATAGTTTCTTTATATGTAAGTGCTAATGCAAATTGTAGGCTGGGCTATCCGGGACGAGCCGCGACCCAGATAGCCCAACATAAACTCCAGCCGCGGAAGCCTACGCAACCACAATGCAAATTGTAGTTAGAATAGAAATGTCAATCATTTTAATAACTAATATATTACAATAATTCCTTTTAAATGTGATTTTTCATTGTTTATATGCCTTTTTTACACACCTACTTCCAGAATAAATGCCTTTTTGCATGCATATATTAGTAAAAATAAATGCCTTTTAGCATGACTATTTTAGAAAAAATAAGGGCCTGATAGTACGGGCTCTATTAATGACACAGTCAAACAAGATGTTAGTTAAAAACTATCTTTGTGAATGTGTGTCGTGTTTGGGGTGGGGGGTGGACTGAAGCCCCATGAGCCCCCCCTCAACCCTGTGCATGCCATTGAGATTATCAAATTGCAAATTAAGCTCCAGCAGCATAGTTGAATGCCAACACATTTCCCAACGGTATTTACAGCCTCAAATGCCATCAATTACTGTATTGTGTCAAACAAGGAACTAACAAACCGTATGTTAATTATGATAAATATTCCAGAGAATTCAGTGAAACTTTCAAAAGCAATTAAGTTTACTACCTTGAAAGTGTGGCAGATTATTTGTCACCAACAATGTTTTCTTGGAGAGTAATTCCCTGTTTACATAGAAAGCCAATGAACTTAAAGGCATAATAAAAACAGAATAGAGGGCAAATATCACCTCAATTTAAGCCACTACCAAATGATATTTTTTAATTTCACAAGTATGAAAATGAAACTCAATGCCTATGATACACCATAATGTATGTCAAGCCTGCATAGGTTCTCGATTATTACATGAATAAGATATGTTCTTTGGTTTCTGTAGTCATTTCTTCATTAAGTGATCGCAAAGTGCAAAAGGCAAAGGGTAATCAGAAAGTTCTTTGGAATCTAAAGAAACTGTATTAATACACACGAAGTAAAGAAGTAGAGGTACAAGAAACATATTTTAAACATACATATTTTTCAAACACTGATTTTACAAGGAATATGAAAATACAAAAAGTATTTCACAAAGAGTACAATTTCTTTTACAGTTTTATGCCAAGGTTCATTTTAACTCACTGAACAACACATCAGTCAAAATGTCCTAATACAATCTTTTGCACATTGTTTCATCAAATTACACCTACAAATTCTTGTTTAATGATCGTCATGAGAGGCACTGTAAAAGGGAAGAGGCAAGGTATCACCAGAAGCAAAAGCTGAATGTTACAAAGGGAGGTGAGTGGACTGCAAAATGAAAGGTTGTCTGGGAAGTAGTTAGCATGGAGGCTGAACAAGCGTAAACCTGCCAGCTCAGCAGAACACCAGTTATCTGTTTTCACTACCTTAACATCAACTAATAGGAATACCAGTTTCAGCATGATATTCTTCAAAACACAGGTCTTTACAAAGGCAAACATTACACTCCCAACACATGAAGCGGGTCTGACGGAAGGCCCCCTTTTGAGTGGTGCGATGCTTGTGCTTGCACTGCCAACACAATTTCCCGTGCACTCCCATCTTGATGAGGTGATGCCTGAGAAAGCCTGCGACAGGAAGGATTAAACCTAATGAGCCCCATTCACCATTTACTTCACGAACTCTTTCACTTCCAAATAAGATACATAAAATCATTTTCAGAGAAAATTAAAATCCACCTAGTGTGTCACATATATACTTGTGGTGTTATTCTATACTTAGGAAGCCAAAAGCTAATATTCATCCACAAATTCAATAGTAAAATTCACAGAGGAATAAGAAAACCTCATGCTATTATCACTTCACAATGAAAACACCACTGTTAGGCTAGCAGACAAAATTTTCTCAATTCATACCTAATGGAAGAAAATGCTAAAAACTCCTAAATATGATGCTCTCTATTTCTAAATGAAAATAACGATCTTAAAGTATGAAAAAATCTAATCTCACAAATATATGGTATAATATTTGGTAATCCCAAATTAAAGAAAGCACAACAAAATTTTAGATTAAGGAATCTTAAGTGATAAAATTCAAACTTTTTCAAAACTTCTGTTACAATTCTGAATGAAACAAACTTCAAATACATTATTCAAGATAAAAAAATATAATCAACAACAGAATTTGAATAGTGCCTATACACTGTTTTTTTAAACACAGTACTCTTCATGCTGTATCAAAAACACCATGAACAAATCTCATGTGGCGCTTCATATTAGCTTTTCGGCTAAGAACACATTCACAAATGCTACATTTTGAAGTGCCACGATGAATAGCCATGTGGTCATAACACGAATTCTGGCTGCGGAATGCTTTTCCACAAACTCTGCACATATATTGTGGTTCTTTGATGTCATATTTCTTCTCTGGTTGCGAAGGAAAGTAATCTGTTGGAGGCAGCCAGCTCCACATTTTGCCAGCAGTTATTCCCGGATCTCCTATAAAAGGAGTAATAATCTGCATGTAACTATTTTACTGATAAATGTATCTGCTCATAGAGCAAGCAATAATTATTATAATGTTTAATGTGTCACGGAAAAGCTGTTAACACAATAAATATACTGTCCTATACAAAATTCCGAACCCCCAAAAAATGGGAATCACCAATTTGCCACTTCCATGGGCCACAAAGGAAGATAATAGCATCTTTATTAGAAGCAGAAACATTTCATTGTCTTCAAAACTTCTCTGAAACTACATAATTCTCTGCTATCTACTTTTGAGTCATTTTTACTGTAATTGAATAACAAATTTATTTACAGTTCTAGCAACAACAAAAAACGAAACACAAAACATGCAGATTTATTTCATCCTAAAAAGACTAGTCTGGTAAGAAGAAATTTACATTTTTGCTTGCATATTCACATTCCCGTACCCCGTGTGCCTGGCAATTTTCCATAGCATTTCTTCAGAAAAAGAGGTAAAAGAGAGAATAGCAAACTTTTCTGCAATTACTTATATCACACTGTAATGATTAGGTGTTTGAAAATAGTAAAGTGTAAACAATTTTAAGTTTTATTTTACACATTAAAAGAGTGAGAAGAACAGAACCATATAGTTAAGAACCCAAAAATTGGTTACCATATACCCAAGAACCGAAAAATTGGTTACCATATAACCAATAACCCAAAAATTAGTTCAGTAAAAGATAGTTCAGTTCTTTTCGAGTACTGATGACTGAATATATCGCTTTAAGATCACAATAAATTGTTCATTAGACTTATTTCAGAATTACTGTATTCTTGTTTATACCTAATAAATAAATGCTAAAACCACAGCAAAGATATGCATAAAATGCACTTCTTCACCATAGTATGTCATATCATGTTTCACTGGTTTTCGAGGTTTAAATAAATAAAGAATGACTTTCTGAAACAACATTTTAAAGAGGTAACAAATTTTGACAATTCTTACTGACAATTAAAATGCACTTTTATTTATAAAAATTCAATGCTAAGTATTATGTTGTCTTTACTATTAACATAATAAAAAGAATGCACATTTTCATAATGAACTGGTTAAAATAAAAACAACTGAAGAAAAAGTGTCAACAGATAAAATGGAAAGGTTTGAAAATATCTGTATAACAAGCACACTTGTAAATTAACCAATTAATGTTCACATTATCCGAAATCAGTGTGTAAAGTCTGAACTACAAAGAGCATACTTTGTACTTTATTAGTCAATATGATGTGGCTGGGGCTTGTGAATTAGCACATTACATGACAAGAAATACCAGATAAAACATAATCAGACTGATAAACAAATATAAGACTCCTTGTGGAAAGTGTCTACAGCTAGTGAAAGGCAAGGAGTGTCGTTTTGAGTTCCATGACAAAGTTGTATACTTCTATTTACACCACAAGAACTCCTCCTAACCTCATTTGATGCTTCCCTATGCACTACTAAGTTTGGGCAATGAGGCCTCAACCTACTGCCTTTGCAATTTTCATAAAACAACCTTGAGTCAGAGCAACACAAATTCCCGTATAGGTTTAAGGCAAATTTGTATTACAGTACAATCCAGCTTTTATGTTGCCGGAATTTGTTTTCCTGCAGCTTACACTGATTTTCTCAGGTCCCTTCAATTGTACTATATTCCTAATGGTAAATTATCCCCGCTATTATTTTGATTTATTATTAATTCTGCAATTAAGTATCACAACTTGGTGGCAGAATTACACTTTCAAAATCAAATTTTGCACGTTTTGAAGCCGACACGGATCTGTGAACAACACTTTTTTATAATATTTTCCTTTCCCCTGCAAGTTCTCTTGCTTATATTTTGTCGCTACGAGTTCTGGACATAGTTTGGAGTTTATTCACTCCAGTAAAGTTTTAGTGTAGTGTGCTCCTCGCTATGGCGTTGGGGGGGGGCAAGTTTCGAATTCGAGTACAGTAACATATTTAGTGCTATTTTAAGAAAGTTTTAACTAAATAATTAAACACGTGGTGTCAGCTCAGAGCTCGGAAACATGGGTATCCACTCTAAACACGATAGTAAGAAACAAGGACTCAATAATTAAAAGTGTAAATGAAAGTCGACATTTATGCAAGAAGTACACCTGCTATTTGAAGTATAAAGAGTTTGAAGACATCGTGAAAATGATGACTAGATGGCACATGCTCGTCACATCTCAGTGAGCGGCGTGTTGTGACATGAAATGTCATGAATGTGGCGATAAGCTTTCCATTGAAAACTTCTCCACGTCTAATGGTTGGCTTGATCGATTCAAAAAGCATTACAATATTGTTTATAAGGTTGTATGCAACGAAGGAAATGTGCAACAAGGCATGGCAAGAGGAAACCGATGGCCATCGGGAAGAAGTTTTCATCCAAGGTCATCTTCAACATAAGATTGTACCCGGTCTAATTTTTGTGTTCTTACAAACAAAACGAAGAATTGCCATGGAGACAAATGCAGTAATCTTGCTTACTGTGATGTTGAGAGTGAATGCCATCAGTTCTGAAGAGCTTTGCCCATTTGTTATAGGAAGGCCTATCTTTGTGAGGGGCAAGCGTATGCTCTTGATACATAGATGGGCACTGTCAGATCCAGGAAGGGATGGAGCCCCCCCACCCCCAAGGCCAAGAGTTTTCATTTACATCTGTTTATTTGGCAAAACTGATTAAAATATTTACATACGAATTATGAAATTATTTAAAGAATAATATATAGTATATCTACAGTACATAAATAATATACAATATAATAACAAATATGTTGATTATTTAACAAAAATCTACAACCCCCTCCCCCAATGATCGACTGCATTCGTCCCTGTAATGGGATCGTAGAACAGAAGAATTCTTTTATTTGTTGATCAGTGCTCTGCTCAAAGCAAATTAACTTGGGGAAACATTAAAATTGAATTCTTGGCGGCAAACTGCACAAACAAGCTACAGCTGAGCAGAGATTAATGTTTGATGAGTTAGGGAAGGATACAATAGCATTTAAAATACATATCCTGAATGCACTGTATTATAGTGCAAAGGCATTTAAAGATGTAAATCAATCCACTATCTACAACAGCTTTAGAAATGGTGGCTTCTTCCGAGCATACAAGGATGAAGTGAAGAGAAAGAAGATGATAGTGATCTTATTTCTGCAAGTTGAAAATGGATTATGAAGTTACACACTTCCTCCATTTCAATGATGAACTAGTGACTGTGCAAACAGTGTCTGTAGAAAGTATGATCGATACAGTTCAGGGAGAAAGTGACAGTGAAAGAAGCAATAGTGTTTTTTGATGATTATGACAATAATGGTAATAGTGGTGTACCTACTTATGCATACGTAATTTGCAAAATATACTTTATATTTCGGCAGCAGGTGGTGAGTATAGAGCGGGAGATGAGTTTAGCATTGACAGTTCGGCGGCGTCTCTACGTTTCCTTGGCGACGGCATGCAGTGCGCCAATCGGGTGCGTTTAAGTCACCATCCGCCGACCCGCATTGCAGATGAATTGTATATATCGCCCCGTGCACGGCCAAAGGTACGATTCGGTTACGAGCGGGGCGCTGCGCCCGGTCTCGGACCCGAATGAATCATAAGCCCTGAGAGATTGTCGTTGAAGTGCCGTGAAAAGCTGTAGCGAAGGCGGTAGACATCGCGTGCTTATACGCTTGCCAACAGCGCACCATGTGCTCGGTAGTTGTCAATCCCTAAGTTCCATCTCCCGCAGTATAATAATTTTGATAATGTACATTAACTTGAAATGCAAGTTGAAAGCATTCCTTAGACGGCAAAACAGTTATCAAATTTAGACTTTAAAAATACTAGAATTCTTGTATTTTAAAGTAGAAAAGTACACAATACTGATTACAGTACAATACAGTAAACCCTCGATAACACGAATTTCATGGGACTGAAATAATAGGGATTCGTGTCATCCGATGTTAACATATATACTCATTAGTATGTTTCTTTGGTGAGACCAAAATTTTGTCCCTTTTCACCACGAATTTGGAGTTAAGTGAGTTCATGCTAACAAGGGTTCACTGTAGGATTGTAATCCCAAAATGTTATGAGTTTGGAAATGAGCTGTTCATACTACAGCTTTATCCAAATTGACTGGCTAACTCACAAAGTAACTGGCTAATTAGAAAATTAGCTATATTTCAGCCTACACATAAAATAAGTTCTGTAGTGACTTTTACAACTAGAAGATCATTCATTGATTTTTTTTCTGCAATCTTCTAATCGCTCAATGATCTGTGTGCTCTTCACATACAATCAAGATGATTAAGCAGCATCCTGCTAGCAAACAACAATGGGTGAAAACATTTAATGTATACAATCTACTCCACACAACATAGTAATTTGAAAAAATCCTATCTAGAGATAATGGTTACAATTTGTTCTTTGGTAGTAAACGAAATGTGAAACAGTCCTGGTGAAAATAAAGTCATTAATTGGAGAAAAATAGCCATATTGTTGAGTATTAGGATTGTTTACTTAAAAAATAATTAAATTATTGTTCTACTGAAAACTGATAATTTACATCAACACTCACTAGAGAACAGTGACACAAAAAGAAAAATACCCGAAGGATAAGGAAGAAGTAAATTATATCAAATATTCAGAAATAATAAGTTAAATGAATATCATGAATCTTCCAAACCTTATAATTTATTGTAAAATAAATGGAGAGAACTATTTACTAAAACTCACAACAACAAAAAACTATGCAATCTGAGATTGTAACCTAAACAAAAGAATATTCTTCCATGGAAAAAATTATGAAAATATGTAATTATTTGCAGAAATATTTTTCCTTTGTAAGCACTTATAAAACAAATATTTACAAAATTTTATTTAAATTAGAATCCAATCTAAAGAATACACCACAATAGCTTAACAGTTTATATGCAGTCGTTAATTTTTTTTTAACTTTTTGGACACTACAAATATTTTATACACACATTAGATTGTA